TCTGGGAAAGGAGGATGCCAAGTACTGCCCTCTTAAAGTACTCTCTGTGGAGTACGGAGATGAAAACCTAAGCACAAATGTCTGCACACTTGAGAGATACGAAGGAAGGTCTGAGATTTGTAATTTATTCCTGGGTCTATAGGTCATACATGGGGGAGAGATTTATTAGCAGTATTACTGGAGTGGGATGTAAATGATATTCTGTTTGGCTTAGCCAATGCTCAACAGGTTTGGAGATTTTCTTGACTGGATGCTACCCAAGAGAAAAAAGGTGGTAAATGTGCTAGAAGAGGAAAATCAGCTTTAAATGGCATGAGGATTATGGGTAATGATACTTAGCAAACCAAAGACGGACAATTGACCAGTTTATCAGTGAGCAGAGTTATTTGACCACGTGAGAGCAAATGCTGTAAAAAATTGTCCAGAAAAAGTTGTCTTTGATTTGACATTTCTAAGCTTTTATTTAAACATTTCATGTAATTATTTTGGCCTCTTGAGCAACAGCTTGAGGGGATCCAAACGGAAGGTTAAATAGTTTTAAAAATGTAAATGTAAATTATCTACTCTTTCCTGCCCCTTCCTCCTTCCTTTCCCTCTCTATTTACACACATGTTCCCTCTTTCCTACATCTTTGAACTACAGCCAGCAGCTGAATGGCATACATATCGAATATATGTGAAGGGGGGGAGGGAGAATCCATAAATGTACAGATTAAGGGAGTTATAGCTACAACTTCTTCAACAGATATCTCTCTTGTAAGGAGATTATATTGTAAATCCTGTGTAGTGCATACAGGTTTAGCTACAGTCTTTTAAAAAAAAAAAAAAAACAACACTGCTAAATGATGCATTCTGCCAATTTCTTAGCTGATTCACTTGCTTTTAAATCAGCAGTTTGCATATATGTGAGCGGAAAAACTAATCATAGGAATGTCTTGTTTTTGCTTTGTAACCTACTCAAAATGCTGTGTGAAAAATACAGAATTCCACTATGCCTTTGATCATTTGATGCTCTGTGGGTGAGCAGCTTGTCGCATTTTAGACTACCTCAAAAACAAGCAAACAAGCTTGTTTCTATAGTTATGATGGTCTCATGATACGATGGTCTCATGATACAAACAGGACAATGTTTGGCAAGGACGGTGATGTCCTATGTTAGGCCAGCTGATATGCTTTGCAGCTCAAAGGAGAAAACAAGCTGAGAGGCACACAAGGCCTTTCTTAGTCTGAAACAAAAGCAGCAAACCTCATTAAACCTTGTTTTGTAATAATTTACAAAGCCTACGCAGGCTTTTGGTGAACTTGATTCCCATGACGTTTGCCATACTACACTTTTAAAAGGAACAATTTTACTTCTGAACTAGGTATTTGATCTGTGTGCAGTGTTTTGTAACTAGGTGTTAGTATATTTATAAAATACACTTTTAAAACCCTATTAATATTAATAACACACATCTTACATATATGAAAAAGTCTTTCATTAAAAAAAACCTTTTCTCTATTTGCTCAAATATCTTTCCAGAATTAAATGATATTGGTATTGGGACAAAATGTTTAAATCCTATACTGGCTGTTTTTTTGACTTCTCAAACTTAATGCGGTTGACTTTTAGCACAGAAAACCAGTGTTTGGTAATGTATGGCTGATAACATCAGTAACGTGACAGATAATTAGTACCTGTAATTTTCCTGTGACTTAAACCAGTTGCATCTTTTTTGGTGGAGAAATAGTCTGTAGCATGCTCTGTGAAAGAAAATGCAAAATTTTCAAACAAGAATGCCCAAAGGGGTAAAAAAAAAAAAAAATTAAATTTGCATAAATACGTATTTGCACATGTGCACGCTTTTTTAGAGATTTCTTTTTGGAAAGCCATTACTGAAGAAGCTCTCTTCCTTACACATATAGCACAGTATTCTGTACTTCAGTGAGGCAGTATAAAGCTTTCGTTACAACAAATACTGAAATGTTAAAAATAGATTAAGCTTTAAGAATCCCAGATATTTTCAAATAACAAAGAGTGATTTATGTGAGCTCATTTTGCACTTTGACAAAATATAGAGGCGCTTTTGTACTATGATTAGCAAGGGTGCTGATGTCAGTTCGCTTGTCTAGCTTTAAGCTTTATTCTGCTGCTAAATTGTGCTTTGTACTGTAATCCAGAGAACCTTTGTATCTGCCTTATTAGTGTGTAGTTTATGGAATTGCTTTTGTTTTTGAATATAATCTGTGCCAGTTTCAGTGAGTGTGACTCATTATATGACTGAAATAAACATTCACATATGCAATATGTGAAAACTCTTCAAAAATAGTAGCAGGTGCTGGTAGGCTAAATTCAATGTTTTAAGTACTTTATAGTTGCTATTTTGTAGCCTGAAGGGCTGAAAGCAAATTCTGTTTAGCTGGTTGATTTTCTGCATTTTTAAGAGTCCTATTTACTCATTAAGGCTCAACAGAGATTGTCAGGATTGCTAAGAATCTTTCATTCCTTAACACAGTAATAGAAATAAACTCTAGAAGAGGCACGTGTGGTTGATAGAGTTGGGTTTGTTTTTTTTTTGTTACACAAATCATGAGACAAAATGCATTGTGCTTCTCAATTGCTTGTCCTTCTCCGATCTCTAATCTCTTTCCTCCTGACTTAAGCTTTGAAAATTTCATCTGAATGACTGAAGGCTGAGGTTAAAGATAAAGCTCGTTTCTGAAGTAACAGAGTTTTGCAGTTTGGTTCGTAACCGTTATCTGTGATCGACCTTGTCTGGAGAGAGAGCCTCCGATATCGAAGTTTCCTGTTATCCCAGCATCTAAGTTGTCACTTGATTTGGAAACAGGAAACAAAACAGACTTCGCCAGTGTTTTTGGGTCACTGTTAAACAGTGCTTATCAGCTGTGCTACTAGAAGATGCTCACATTTGAAATCTAAGTTGAAGGGGTTTCATCTGTTGCATCTTCCACTTCTGTGTTTCACTGTTCACCCAGTTAAACTTGCTGCTACCGTGGAAATATTTGCTTGAGACCTTGCCTTGATTCACACAGTTCAGCATTTAAAGGCAGATGCTGTATTCACAACTACAATAAACATATTGTTTTATAAAGTATAAAAGTTATCTTAAAATCAAATAACTTTTAGAGGCTTGGTAGTTGGAGAATGGATCACAAGCCTTAATTAAGCTGTCTGGCATTTTCCCCTTTCTCCTGTTTTCTGTATTATCTTTTCATAATAGCGTCCTAAGCTTGATACCCAAAAAAGGCATGCCCACTTGACAATGAGGGTTTTGTGAGTCTCTAGTGCAAAGCTGACGGCGCTAGTTCGGAGCTGGAAGATGGCAGTGCAGTTCTTGCTCTTTGTCCTTTATGTCCTCCCTCTGCTAGTTTGTTTGAAGGTAACAGCTACATAAAAATGAAATGGAAACTCTCTTGTGCCTCAAGAAAATGGGTCTGAATCTTTTCGTAATACACAGTAAGAAACTCTTGTTTTCAAAGCTACATCCTAGTGTGTAAAGGACATTGCACGTCTTGACATCTTCTGGGACCATCCTTGCTGATTTTCTTCCTTTCCTTGGTTAGCATGCAGCCAGGGCTAGCCAAAAGGAGAACTCACTCGCCTGTTTCGGTTTTTTATTTCTTCTGTTTTTTGTCCTTCCAAAGACTTGCTCGCGACCTTGTCTGAATGTCCTAAAGAAGTTTTAAATGGGGTGCCTTGGGGCATGGTGCGAGTCTGTGGTGTAACATGCAGTGGCTTGGCTACTGCATTGATTTGCCTTGGTCTTCAGCTTTCCTGAAAAGCATAAAAACAAATGGACAAACCAGTGATGGCTCCCCACTGTGTCCAGGCTCTACTTTCAGCTTTCAGATTTCTAACTGAATGCAGTGCAGCTCTTCTAGTGGGCAATAGCAGTACGTCTAGTTTCTTCTACGGTGCCTGTTATCCTGGCATTTGTGCATATAAGGAAGCTTCTAGCATAGGATGCTGTATTGCTGGTAGAGCTCAGGAACCAAAATGGAGCTAAGTGGGGCAATAAAGATGCTGTTGGTAATGCCAGGAGGACAGTTGTATGTGAACCTTGAATTCTTGGTTTGAGTTAGCATCTTTGGTGAGAATTATGCCAGGTGACAGAGGCCCATTGGAATGAAAGGCAGCTGAGGATTAGTTGGAAGATGAGGCATTGTCATTGTGCTTTTCTCCTGGACTAGCTGCTTTCTCTCTGCAGCAACAGGAAGGCTGCTACAACAAGCATGGCATCAGACTGAAATGTATTTCTCCTGTGGATGTATCTTCCACAGATACTGTTTTTATGTGGTAAAACTATTAACGTTTGGTCGGTCTCTCCATCCCCATCTCTAACGGTTTCTAAAATAATAATGTAGCTCTTTTTCTGTAAGAAGTACTGTTGTAAAAATATTATGAGATTCTGAGTGCAGAGTTCCCCTAACATCGAGGCGAGGGTATGATATGAGCATTGTCTGTTCTTTAAACGCAGGTCACTATTGTTAAGTATCAGTGAAAAATTCAGAGTTAAAATGCATCAGCCCAAAGCAGCAGATATTGGAAACAAAACACTATGGAGCACTTAAAGATATCTTTTTATTTTGTCTTCCCCATGCCTACATCAGCTTCCTTCAGAAGTTTTTTGTGTGTGCTTTTTTCCCCTCTCCTGGTCCCCTCCCTGCCTTTTTTTTTTTTTTTTACTGGATTCATTCTTTCTCATTTTGTAAACAGTGATTTAATTATATGTCCCCTTCTTAAAAACGAAGCTCAAATACAGGAGAAATAAACTTGAAAATACAAATTCACTAATCCTCTAGTCCGCTGCTGTAACAATATGTAAATAGACTGCGTTAAATGTAGGTAACTGGTGTGTAATCCCTTAGAATTATAATTGAACTACTTATTACTTGGTTCAACCCAGGTTGAAACCATACACAAAAGGTAACAATCTTAAAGTATGATTTCTTCCTTCTAATTTTTCTTCCTTTTTTTCTCTCTCCAATTTTCAGGCATGGAAGAGAAGATGGTTTGTGCTTCGCAGTGGCCGTTTAACGGGGGATCCAGATGTATTGGAATACTACAAAAATGACCATGCCAAGAAGCCTATCCGTATTATTGACTTAAATTTGTGTCAACAAGTGGATGCTGGATTAACATTCAACAAAAAAGAGTTTGAAAACAGTTATATTTTTGATATCAACACTATAGACAGAGTTTTCTATTTGGTAGCAGACAGCGAGGAGGAGATGAATAAGTGGGTTCGATGTATCTGTGATATCTGTGGGTTCAACCCTACAGATGAGGGTAAGTTCTGTTGGTTTTTCTGAGAAAGTGCAATGTCTGCATGTGAAGAATGTTTCAAAGATCAGATGACTATCTTTAGCTGGCATATGTTTTAAAACTTTTATGCATTGGCTATGAAACTTCCTTGTTACTCTGAAAAAAAGTAAGCAGAACAGAGGGAGATATTAAGAATTTGTTACAAATTAAGTGTGCCATAGAACTTGGATGATGCTCTTCTGTTTTGCATGATGTTAGGTCTTGAGAGTACAGGAAAAATCTTTAAGTAAAATCATGCAAAACAGAAGATCATCATAATCATCAAAGGAATCCCATTTGGTATAAAAAAGTATGGTTATGCAAGCAGAAAAGGTTATGCAAAGGAAGGAGTGCAAAATGTCAGGTTTCTAATATTACCAATTCTCCGTCTGCTTTGCAACTTGGAAAAAAAAAATCCGCCCCCCACCAGCCGAAACAAACAAAAAATAACTTGCAGTTCTCCACTCTCGAGCTCTAATCCTGCCAAAACAGACATTGTGTGAAAGCAGCTTGCAGGAAACAGGATGGTGTGTTTAATTCCTACAAATACCTTGTGGCCATTGCTTGTCCTGAATCCATCCTTATTTATTTATTTATTCCTTGTGGAGATTAGTGGGTTGCATGACTTGCTTGTAGCTCTGTGCACTGTCCCAAGAAAAGATTAAACAGGAGTGGTAAGAGGGTTATAAATAAAGTGTGCATGGCTGAAGGGGCTACAATTAAATCCCTGGTTTTTGGAGGATTGTGGATTGAGGAAGGTGGGGAAAAAACGCTTCCATCTCTTCTACTTCAGTCAAATCTTCAAAAATGACTGGAAAATATCGTTGCTTTCTGAAGAGGGGCCCTTTTCTTTCTCCTTATTGCAGTTTTGAACTAAAACTTTGTCACAAAAACTTCGTCTGTGAATTACCGCTCTAATAGCAAGTTCAGTGATGGGTACTTGTTTTGACAGTTCCAGCATGTTTTTATGACATCCTGAACATAACCAAGACCACCCACAGCATGTTTCTAAGAGCAATTGCCATGCGATTCAGTATTCAGTCTGCCAGGCATGTGTTACCTACGGGAGAGAGTTAAGCAGGTGGTTGCTTTTCAGTGGCTAATACCCTAGTGCACCAGTGCAGCTGTGGGCAGGAGGCGCTCAGAAATCATTGGTTCTGGGGACAAACTAGGAATCTGGGAAGTAAGGAGGAAACGTGTTTACCTGGCAGCTCTTGTGTATGTGAGATTGCAAAGGAGCCTGTGTCCATTGTGTGGAATGGAGAGGTAGGGTCCCCTCAAAGCCGTAAGGCCTTTCCTTGCTGAGAGCTGGTGGTGTGCTAATTCTTAATTTTCTGTTGATGTTACATTTTCTGTGGAATTGAAGATGAAACATGCTATGAATGCGGAGAGAACTAACTATGCCCTCACTGGCTGTTTGGACCAAAACTGATTTTTGCTTCAGTCAATTTTGCCAGTAACTTATCCCCATTAGACTCTCATTGCATGTTTCATCTTCGGCATTTTAGCTTTGTCTGAATTATCCGAACACCTCTACGTTACCTAACTGAGAGTTGACAGTACTGTCTGTTTTATGGGTTTAGTAATGTCTTGCAGTGCATTGAGGAAGAATTAAAAAAGGAAAATGGAAAATCAGTTGCTGAGTGTCTGTTAACTGCCAAGTTCTTGTTTTTACAAGATAAATCTTCCTCCTAATGGAAGAGTAAGTCATAAATGTACTTTAAATGATCTGTGTTAACCTACAGTTTACTTTGAGAAGTTAAAGAATGGATGAAGTTCACTGCAGACAATAAGAAAGCACTATTATTTTAGTATGGAACTAAACAAGAAGAGATTGTATGGGGCATAACCAACCTTCCCTTTAGTCTATGGAAGCGCAAGACAGTTTTCTTTGAAGCCGGACAAAATGTCTCTTGCCAGACTGGTTAAGAGTCTTGTTATGAGAGGACTGTCGTTGGCATCCTTTGCTCGATCAGGGATGGGGGACCACTGGCTTATTGCTCATGCTGCTGTTCATTTGGAAGCCCAGTCCAATTGCCTCCTTGGATTTGCAAAGAAAAAAATTATGAGGTGGTGGTAGTTAGTGCTATTAGAAAATGAATATGAAGTTGTTGGTTTGGTGTTGGGAGGAATGAGGGAGAAAGAGTTAATCATAACTGTGGAGAGACCAAAAAAAAAAAAAAAACCAACTTCAGACTAGCTCTGGGCTGTTCCTTCCATACTTAGCAAAGACTCAGAAATTCCTATGCTGCAAAGTTTGTATTTTCTTTTATTCCTTTTCTTAAAAATGAGTATTTATAGTAATTTCTAACTATGTAATGCCTTGTTGTGACCTTCCAACTTGGATTTATGCACATGAAATCTGTTCACTCTGGAGATCTGCAATGTTACATTTGTATTTGGACTGAGTAGATGTCTTTAGTTATATGTTCTCTAGCCATATTTACAAGCCATTGAGTCTCCAGCTTTCTAATTACATCATAGTATAGTATAATCTGTAATGATTACATTACAGTTACATTATATGGCTTTTCAGAGGGACTTTCTTTTAAGGAAGGGTTTACAGTGATTTAGGTCTTAAATTTGCAACAAGGTAGAAACATGAAGGATTTTTTTTTTTAAATAAGCTAAAAAATTCTACATTTCTAAGGAAACTTCTGGGTACTTTTTATGTTTTCTTCAGCTAATGCTTCTTGTTTTCAAATGGAAGCTGTAAAATGTTTTTTTCTGTGGCATCTGTCTTTTTAAAATGCATGTGCAAAGGTGGGGGGAGCTACACATGAGCATGGCTTCTAGGTTTACCACCGAGTTTCATACTGCACTTTTAACATTTTTTCTCGGTAAGGTCATAATATAATAGGTCATTTAGAGGTTAAAATGTAACTATGAGCAAAAATGTGGTGCGTTTTGTGCGCTTTGAACTGCAGTGAGAGATGTTCTGGGATGGAGAGACCCAATAGACATGGGAAATGACTGTTCTCCTCTGCCACATGCTGTGAAGACCTCAGCTGAAATACTGTGGCCTGAGCTTCCAGAAGGATGACGATAAATGTTTAAAGAATGGTAGAAATGGAGGAAATGGGTTTTTAGAAGTGATCAATGAGGAGAAAAGTTGAAGGATTTGTTTTTCCCAGGAAGAAGATACTGAGGGAAAAGCTGACTTTCAAAGTATAAAAAACTGTGATAAGCAGGACATGGATCAGTTGTTATCTGAAGAGAGAAGTAATTTGTTTCTCTTTCAGTGAGTGATATAATGATAAAGAAAAACCTTCTAAGGATCTTTAAGCACAGGCTGTGAAAGCCCTTCCCTAGAATTCAGTAGACATCTGCGATGAATGTTTTATATGTGATCCAGCTCTATGTTTCTGTAATTTACTGAGTTGCGTGCTTGGCAGAGCAGGGGAAGGAGGAACTAATCTTACTATATGCAAACATGTTACTTGCATGTATTCATTTGAATAAAGATAGCAATAACAAAGTAAACCAGAAGACATAACAAAGTAAAGCAGAAGAAAAAAAGAAAAGGGAAGAACAAGACGTTGAAATCTACAATTAGATTTACACAAATAATTACATGTGGTAAAGTTTCTGTCATCATAAGGACCATCCTTTGAAAGAGCTGCAACTTGCTTCACACACAACGCTTGCAAAGTTTGCAGTATTTCTGTTCATGCAGCTGCTATCTGGTATATGCCTCTCGTGCCTTCTGCATTTTAAACAGTAAAAATTATTTTCAAATAACTATTTTTTTTAATTGTGTTCTGATAACGCATGCACTGCAGGTTGATCATAGCTTGGGTGCAATATCAGTGACTGGCAGGGTGAACATAAATCCATCTTCCAAATCCTGACTCCTTGAATTCTCTCTCATGCTGCGTGGTCAGGCATCACTGCTGCTACGCTGTGTTGGGGATCTCCCTATCAGATCAGGATACCCCTGTGCTGCCTGTAACACAAGCGTGGAACAGAAAACAGGCTCTGCCACTAAGAACTTACTATATGCAGTGAGAGACATCAACATAGGAGCAGAGGCATGGGAAGAAGTGAAAGCAAGTAAGGTGGTTTTGACCATTGTAACAGGTAATGGTCCTAGTGCTTCAGCTGTTGGACTGTTGTTGAACTCTGGGATTTCTGAGAAGAAATTTTCAGGGGGTCTTTGATAAATAAATAGTGGGCATTAGAGGTGTTTAGGGTGCCCTTCCTGCATGAAGGGTCTGCCTATAAGAAATAAAAAATGTTCTCCTTTGACCGCTTTAACAAGTGGATGATAGAGACTGGCACACTTGGCAAATCAAAATCACCATCTCAATAACATACGATGAATATTAGAGACCTTGGTCATGAAAGGGCTCAAAAGTGAGGAGAAATAGCATGAGCTTTTAGATAAAGGAAGGGAGGCTCCGGAGGAGCACAGGTAGAAGTGCAATGATAGAGTAAACTAGCTTAAAAAAAGTCTTTGCAACAAAGTTGCACCACAGAGATGATGTACTTAATGACAAGTTGAGATTTTTTTTGTATGTCATGGATGTGATTAACTAGAAAGAAAGTCAGCTCAAAGATGACATGCCAGATGAGTGACTAGTGACCTGGAGTGCGGTGAAGAATAACATGAAAGGACCAAGTTAAGCATTAGGAGAGAAACGCTCCGGATAAGGATTGTGGGTCTGTTGTCTTAGAAGTAAGGCAGTAGGTTTAGAGGGAATAGTGGCACAAGGGCATCTCTTCTTGTGGAGGCTTTTTTGGTTGGTTGCTGTGAGGAGGTAAAGGTGGGGGATAGAGGCCACTGAGATATACAAACATGATTTTTTTTTTTTTTTTTTTTTGAGGGTGGAATTGCTAAGAGGAAGGTGAGGATAGACTGTGGAGGAGGCTGCTAGAGTTGCAAGATTTCCTCTGGCAAAATTGCAGAGGAATAATAAAATTAGAAGAAGCGGGACCAGAGAAGGACCTGAGATTCGGCATAGCAGGTTTGGTAGAGGTGGTAG